TTTTTTCAGCTCTAAATTAAAATATCCTCTTTAAATTTGTTTAAGGAATCCGCACGCCATAGCTGATTTAGTCCGCCCTCTGTCGAAGAGGCATCCCATGATCAACTTGATCATCAAGTGACCATCTCTAGACAGCAGCAGGTCAACGCCGTAATGATCCCATCGCTGTGGGTCTTCCTCACTTCTCTCTTCCAGCCTCGGGTCTTCTTCACTTCAGTTCTCTATTCCAGCCAATTCCCGATTCGCCTTCAAGTGCAGTACCACAATCACAACGAAACAGACGCCTCGCTGATCGAAAGGCCCCTAAATTCTGGTTTCGCATGCCGATGTGCACGGGTCGCAGGATGCCGGGGCATGCTGGTGAAAGCACCGCGGTCTCTGAGCTACTCCATCAAAAAGGCCAGCAGCATTGTCGAGACTCGGGTCCCGTTGATGACGGGCAATGTATGCGTTCACAGCTACATGTTTCACATTACGAGTACGTGTAGTTCTTGGTCAAGTGGTAACGAGGACAACTTGTGCCTCTATGCACAATGGAGCTCTTTGGAATCATTGATCGTTACAGTATCCAACACAGATTTTACTTCGAAGTAGTTTTGTTTTTGCAATTCATGGTACAACCCAAGTCTGCGCTCACATCTTTTTCTGGATGCCCGTTGCGTGGTTGCATTGCAGGTTGCAGGTTGCAGCACAACCTCGCAGTGCTTCCGAGATAACTATCCAGTGTTTTTCCTGGTGTCGTGCGGACCCGAAGTAACTTCGGCGAAGTTACGATCTTAGGCTCATTTTCGACTGACCACCTTGATTCCAACTTGGAATTTCCAAGGCCCTAAAATGCAAACAAAACGCCAGAAACCAGCGGCCGTCATCTCCAACTGCGCTCAGAAAGCGTCATCGCGGCCCGAGCTGTAATGCATCCGCGTTCCCAGCTGCGGACGCGGATGCTGCGCCGAAAAAGCAGAAATCGGTCATAAATCATCGTCGTGGAGAAGCGCAGGTGGCGCCGCCTGGTGGATGTGCTCGTGTCAATGTGTCCAACCGATGACAGCGCTTGATGCCTGCGGCAACCAGCTGAGGATACATGTATGTGATTGCTGGCGCCCGTATCATTCATTCGACGTTGGAAAAACAAGAGGGTCGCCACGAGCGACTTTCAGTTGAGCGGATCCTGAGCTTTCCGAAAGATGAAATCGGTCGGGGGCTTTTGCGCGAACGCTGCTCAGCAGCAACAATCGCGCGTTTGAGTGCAGCGAGACCGACGTCGAACGCGCCCTACAGGCACTCATTCGCACAAGAAAGACTCGAAGTATGATACTTCTGTTTGCTCGAAAACTTGTTGGTTTTCCTAAATTATGAACGAACACAGAAACCGTTTCCCGAAAAACGGCTTTCCGAAAAGACGCGAACCAATCAGCGATGTTGTGTGATTGCGTTCAGCGTCGCAGCAGCTGGCGGTCGCCACATCACCCGCCGCTTGCTCGCCTATGACACGGCCATCACCGCTTTGCCAGAGTCCACCACTTGCCATTGTTCAATCCGCCCGCCGCTCATCAACAGCAACAGGAAGCAGCATCTCCACTTTTGATTTTTGATAGCCAAGCTTACTAGCATGTCAACGCCGTCCAAGAGCAACAACAACAGCAACTCGCGTCTGTCTGTCATGGCGCAGCTGGAGCAGGCGGCCCGGAAATTGACGCTATACTCGCGGGCGCTGCGCGACCAGCTCGATCGACTACGCGAGGAGATGGTGACCGAGAAGCAGGCTGTGCTCACGTCCGAGGACGACGTGAGCGAATCGTCGGCGCGCCTGCAGGAGATTGAGGAGCTCATGACCAAGTTGCAGCTCGAGATCAACACGCTGCGCGTGCTGCCACCCTCACGCGACGACGGCAGTCTGGCCGCCCGTCAGCAGGAGCTGGAGGAGCTGGAGGAGGAGCGCCAAGAGGAACTGGAGCTTCTCGCACACATCCGCACCATGTTGCAACTGCATCAAAGCACACACAGCAAGATGCAGCGCATGATCGCCGCACTCACCAAGGAGCTTCATCGCGTGCGCCAGCGCGAGGAGGTGGTCGTTATCGCTGCTCTGCGCAGCCGCATCGTCAAGGTGTTCGCCCCCAAAATCTAGATAAGAAGACCCCTCGACGAGTCAAGGCACCAGGCAGACAC